GCCGTCTGAGGCGCATCGTAGGCCTGGTGCGTGGTGCCGGAACAGGAGGTACCAGGCTGAGGACACGCATCTCAGGGCTAGTGCGGGGAGAAGCAACAGGGCATGCTGGACCCTGGGGACGCACCGTAGGCCTGATGCGTGGTGCCGGAACTGGAGGTACCGGGCTGAGGACACGCATCTCAGGGCTAGTGCGGGAAGCAGCAACAGGGCATGCTGGACCCTGGGAACGCACATAAGGGCTAGTGCGGAGAGCCGGAACAGGGCATGCTGGACCCTGGGGACTCACATTAAGCCTAGTGCGGAGAGCAGCAACAGGACGCACAGGACTCGGGAGACACACAGGAGGCTTGGGGCGTGGTGTAGGCACTGGTGGGAAAGGGCTGGCGACGCGCACCGTATGCTTCGTATGAGGCTCAGGAACAGGCCGGGCTGGGCTGGCGACGCGCACCGTACACTTAGTGCGAGGGGCCGGAACAGGCCGTACCGTACTGGGGACACACACTACTGGCTGTACCTCGGGATTAGGAACGGGCCGGACCGGACTGGTTACACACCCCAGTACCTCTCGCCGTGCCTCTACACCTTCCTTCCCTGCTTTTCCCAGTAGCCCCCTTAACCTGGTAGCCTCCTGAATCCGTCCCTTCTCTGCCTCCGTCAGCCCCCTTAACCTGGTAGCCTTCTGAATCTGCCTTGTGGCAGCCTCCTGCTGCTCAGTCGCCCAAGCCATGTGCCCCCCCCAAAAACTTTTTGGGGTTGCCTCTCGTCCTTCCGACGATGGCCCTGCCGATGCCGTTGCTCCTCTCGCCGTCGCATCTCCACCGTCTCGTTCCATGGTCGGCGATCCATACCATCCAGGATCTCCTCCCAAGTCCAGGACCCTTTACCGTCCAACAGTTCCATCCATGTCCAGACCCTTTGCTCCTGGACGCGCTGCTTGGTCCTTTTATGGTGGGTTTTTCTGTCACGATCGTCTGAAGAAGCGGACCAATACGCAGCGCGTGGAGTGAACATGATGACTTTATTTAATAAAGCAACCACGAAAAACAACAAATGACGATAGTGAAGTCCTCTGTAACACTGACAGAAACATGGAACAAAAACCCACAAACCAAGGAGAAACCACACAGTTTAAATATGGCTCCCAATCAGAGATAACGAGCCGACAGCTGACACTCGTTACCTCCGATTGGGAGTCATATGACTAATCCTAGAAATAAACGTGACAGAAATGCAACCATAGAAAATCACCCAAAACCCAACATAGAAATACACCCAAACAATGAAAATGAACAACCCTGGCTCAAATAATCAAAGTCCATGGAGCCAGAGTATCACAAGTGGGTGCACTAGCTGGAGGTCTACTATTGTTGATGACTAGGAAAGTGCTGAGTAAGTGCAGCAATACACAGGATGTGGGCCCAGAAACAAGATGAAGTGAAGCTGATTAGAAAGGTTAAGAAAGTAGCAGAAAATAAAGAGGGAGAAGGCTTATACTGATTGCCATCCTTTTGCATTCAAAACAACCATCTTATAAAGGATTAGGAGATAGTGTAGAAACTGTTCACATTTTAAATAAAGGGTTGTGATGAGTTGTTTCGAATAGGAGGGGGGTAATGGCATCTATTTGAATAAGTAATTAATAGTATAAAAAACAAAAAACATCTTGGCACTCTCTCAACCAGCTTCATGAGGTAATCACCTGGAATGCATTTCAATTAACAGGTGTGCCTTCTTAAAAGTTAATTTGTGGAATGTTTTTCCTTCTTAATGCGTTTGAGCCAATCAGTTGTGTTGTGATAAGGTGCTTTGTCTTTCTCACTTTGAGGGAGAGGTTGTTGCCCTGGCATCACACTGCCAGGTCTCTGACCTCCTCCCTATAGGCTGTCTCATCGTTGTCGGTGATCAAGCCTACCAATGTTGTGTCATCAGGAAACTGCTTGAAACATGTAGGTATTACAGACTCGGTCAGGGAGAGGTTGAAAATGTCAGTGAAGACACTTGCCAGTTGGTCCGGCAATGCTCTGAGTACACGTCCTGGTAATCCGTCTGGCCCCGCGGCCTTGTGAATGTTGACCTGTTTAAAGGTCTTGCTCACATTGGCTATGGAGAGCGTGATCACACAGTCATCCGGAACAGCTGGTGCTCTCATGCATGCTTCAGTGTTGCTTTACTCGAAGCGAGCATAAAAGGCATTTAGCCCGTCTGGTAGGCTCGCATCACTGGGCAGCTCGCAGCTAGGTTTCCCTTTGTATTCCGTAATAGTTTGCCACATCTGACAAGCGTCAGAGCCGGTGTAGTAGGATTCAATCTTAGTCCTGTATTTTCGCTTTGCCTGTTTGATGGTTCGTCTGAGTGCATAGGGGGATTTCTTATAATATATATTACATTATAAATAATGATTATATTATCTGGTCGCTATTACATTATCAGTTATGTTAACATTATTTCAATGTTTGGTATAAAACAGTCAGTCAGTGAAATCTACAGGAGTGATGACCAGTGGGGCTGAGTTTTAACCAGTGAAATTATTACCAGGGCTGAAGAATGGATAGACTTTCTCAGTGAAGGTGTAGTCAGTGAAGGAGTAGATATGAGACCTGGCCTTCACATTATAGAAGGAGACCTGACCCTCCTCATAATCCACAAACACCCCCACCTTCTGGGGCTCCTCTCTAAGGAAGAGGGGGACAGGGGGGACAGCGCCAGCCCAGTACTCTCCATTCCTCAGCATCACAGTCCAGTATCCATCCTCAGGGTTCAGGTAAATCGTCCCCTTCATGTTGATGGACTCTCTCGCCACTCCTAAAGACCAGCCAGTCTTCTCCTTTACCTGCAACTCATAGTAGAATCTCCCTGAGGAGAAGCCCTCCTTTCCCAATACACAGACAGAGATATCAAACCTCTCTGGGTTGTCAGGGAGATGCTGCCATACGTCTCCAAATCTAACTTATTTCCCGTCTTCAGACAGGATGAGTTGGGGATGTGCTGTATCACGATCTAGAGTCACATCCACTGTGGAGAGAAACATACAATTCATTATAATTAGAACATGTCAGTGGATATATAACATAAATCTGGGAACTGCATTTTACTGCATAATCCATTATTCTCTGACATATGGCTATTTTGCGAATGGTATGGCATCTAAAATAATGTATTAGTCTATTCATGTAGCACTCTAGATGGAGTTAACACACAGGACTGTTGAGTCTATCTGAAGAGTAACACACAGGACTGTTGAGTCTAACTGAAGAGTAACACACAGGACTGTTGAGTCTAACTGAAGAGTAACATACAGGACTGTTGAGTCTAACTGAAGAGTAACACACAGGACTGTTGAGTCTAACTGAAGAGTAACACACAGGACTGTTGAGTCTAACTGAAGAGTAACACACAGGACTGTTGAGTCTAACTGAAGAGTAACACACAGGACTGTTGAGTCTAACTGAAGAGTAACATACAGGACTGTTGAGTCTAACTGAAGAGTAACATACAGGACTGTTGAGTCTAACTGAAGAGTAACATAGAGGACTGTTGAGTCTAACTGAAGAGTAACATACAGGACTGTTGAGTCTAACTGAAGAGTAACATACAGGACTGTTGAGTCTAACTGAAGAGTAACATACAGGACTGTGAGTCTAACTGAAGAGTAACATAGAGGACTGTTGAGTCTAACTGAAGAGTAACATACAGGACTGTTGAGTCTAACTGAAGAGTAACATACAGGACTGTTGAGTCTAACTGAAGAGTAACACACAGGACTGTTGAGTCTAACTGAAGAGTAACACACAGGACTGTTGAGTCTAACTGAAGAGTAACACACAGGACTGTTGAGTCTATCTGAAGAGTAACACACAGGACTGTTGAGTCTAACTGAAGAGTAACATACAGGACTGTTGAGTCTAACTGAAGTGTAACATACAGACTGTTGAGTCTAACTGAAGTGTAACACACAGGACTGTTGAGTCTAACTGAAGAGTAACATAGGACTGTTGAGTCTAAACTGAAGAGTACCACACAGGACTGTTGAGTCTAACTGAAGAGTAACACACAGGACTGTTGAGTCTAACTGAAGAGTACACACAGGACTGTTGAGTCTACTGAAGAGTAACATACAGGACTGTTGAGTCTAATGAAGAGTAACATACAGGACTGTTGAGTCTAACTGAAGAGTAACACACAGGACTGTTGAGTCTAACTGAAGAGTAACATACACAGGACTGTTGAGTCTAACTGAAGAGTAACACCAGGACTGTTGAGTCTAACTGAAGAGTAACATACAGGACTGTTGATCTAACTGAGAGTACATACAGGACTGTTGAGTCTAACTGAAGAGTAACATACAGGACTGTTGAGTCTAATGAAGAGTAACACACAGGACTGTTGATCTAACTGAAAGTAACACCAGGACTGTTGAGTCTAACTGAAAGTAACACACAGGATGTTGAGTCTATCTGAAGAGTAACACACGGACTGTTGAGTCTAACTGAAGAGTAACACACAGGACTGTTGAGTCTATCTGAAGAGTAACACAGGACTGTTGAGTCTAACTGAAGAGTAACATACAGGATGTTGAGTCTAACTGAAGAGTAACACACAGGACTGTTGAGTCTAACTGAATAGTAACACACAGGACTGTTGAGTCTAACTGAGAGTAACATACAGGACTGTTGAGTCTAACTGAAGAGTAACACACAGGACTGTTGAGTCTAACTGAAGAGTAACACACAGGACTGTTGAGTCTAACTGAAGAGTAACACACAGGACTGTTGAGTCTAACTGAAGAGTAACACACACTGACCAGAACATTTTCAGATTGTTTCAAGATCTAAAATATGAAAGGTAACATTTGAAGGGGGTATACTTAATGACATATTTATGAAACCAGTCATAACTGAGTGTTGCAGTATAATTGATAAGAACCTGTTAATAATACTATCTACTATTCTACTACTACCTTAAAAAATCTACTGTCACTTTAAGCAGTCATTATTGTCACACTAACCATAGTCCATCTTCATATTCTTCAGGTTTCTTCTCACATACTCAGCCTCTCTCTGTTGCTGTAGGTCTGAGCTGAGAGTAGCTATGGTCTTATTCAGATCAGCAATTCTGATGTCCATCAGTTCTTTCTCAAATGCCTCTTGTTTTAGCACAGCATTCTCCTTACTGAGCTCACCAACATCATGTTTGAGTTTAGAGATCTCCTGCTCCAAGTCTGACTTAGAGCTATTCAGCTCAGAGATCTCCTTCCTCAGCTCACTGATTGTATTCTTCAGCTCAGAAATCTCCTCATCACAATCTTCTTCCTCCTCTTGAACTTCTATTATCTTCCTCTTATTAGAGACCCTCTCCCTCTCCTCCTCAGTCTCAGTCTCCATAGTCTCCTCCTTAAGAGAAAACATGAAACACACAGTTCAGTTCATCTCATTATAATAGTGTTATACACTGAGTGTACAAAACATTATGAACACCTGCTCTTTCTATGATCCCTTATTAATGTCTCTTGTTAAATCCACTTAAATCAGTGTCGTATTTTTAAGCCTTGAGACAACTGAGCCATGGATTGTGTAAGTGTGCCATTCAGAGGGTGAATGGGCAAGACAAGAGATTTAAGTGCCTTTGAACGGGGTATTGTAGTAGGTGCCAGGCGCACCGGTTTGTGTCAAGAACTGCAAAAGTGCTGGGGTTTTCACGCTCAACAGTTTCCCGTGTGTATCAAGAATTGTCTACCACCCAAAGGACATCCAGCCAACTTGACACAACTGTGGGAAGCATTGGAGTCAACATGGGCCAGCATCTCTGTGGAATGCTTTTACACCTTGTAGAGTCCATGCCCCGACGAATTGCGGCTGTTCTGAGGGCAAGGGGGGGGGGGGGGGGGGGGGGGTGCAACTCAATATTAGGAAGGTGTTCTTAATGTTTTGTACATTCAGTGTAAGTGTTTGTAGTCATCATTAAAATAGTGTATCCTTAATGACAGCACCTCTTTGATGCTCTCTATCTTTCCAGATTTGTGCCCATCTCCAGTGACCTCAGCCAGGGTGTGTCTCGGCAGTGCTGGGACGGTGTAGTGCTGCCTGACGTGGCTCTCACAGTAGGAGACAGTGCAGGTCAGACAGGACTTGACCGCTCTGAGCTTCTGTCCAGAGCAGATATCACAGGCCACGTCCCCAGGCCCAGCGTAGCCCAGAGCAGGGAGGGCAGGACTGAAGCCTGCCTGCTGGAGCCCCTGGAGGACCCTGGCCAAGGCTGTGTTAGTGATGAGCACAGGCCGGGCTTGATTTTACTGCATGGGACACACATGTCTCTTGCAGGGCCGGGCTGGGCAGGATCTGTGATGCAACGCCTGCCGCAACTAGTGTCCCCAGGGAATGAGACCGGGTCCTCAGCACTCTGCACAGAGCAATGAATGTCCTTCAGTCAGCAGATGACCACTGAGAGAGAGACCTCTATATACAATAAAAAACAACAACATCAACTACGGTCTCAGATCATGAGTAAAGCTACTCATTTCAACACTCACCTCAGATCAGGGGTCAGGTCTCTTTTTAAGTAAGGGTGCTCCATGGACCTGTCACTCTCTAGACAGACCGCAGGGAGCAGGAGACATCGTCTCCTGAGTGGGCCGTGCCTAAGGCACTGCATTGCAGTGCTAACTGTGCCACTAGAGAATCTGGTTCGATCAGGCTCTGTCGCAGCCCGGCCGCGCCGGGGAGATCATGGGCGGCGCCCCATTGGCCCAGCGTCGTCCAGGGTAGGGGAGGGAATGGCCGGCCGTGATGTGCTTCAGTTGATAGAGCCAATGGCGTTTGACCCCGCCAGGGTTGTGGGTGGCGATTCCCACGGGGGCAGTTATTCAACAATATGTATTCATCACTGTAAGTTTCTCTGGCTAAGAGGTCATTTATGCTAAAATGACTACTAAAATGTACATGAGACCTAACTTTCTCGCTTGCTCCACATTCATACCCAATATAGTTATCTGTAATGATATCATCACATTATCCTCTGTGTTGTCTTAAAGTGAAAGCAGATGAAACTAAATATATTTATCAACAGTAAAATACAGTAAACTGCCAAAATAAAGGAAACAATTGAGTAAATTAGGGTTATGGTGGCTCTGTTATGGTGTAGGATGCATTTTCCTAGCATGTGATAAGGTCCACTCAACCCCTTAGAGGGCAAGGTAAACGCCAATAAATACACAGCCATTCTGAGTGATCACCTTCAACCTATGGTGAATCATTTCTATCCTGATGGGTGTGGCCTCTTCCAGGATGACAATGCCCCCATCCACAAGGCACGAGTGGTCACTGAATGGTTTGATGAGCATGAAAACGATGTAAACCATATGCCATGGCCGTCTCAGTCATCAGATCTCAACCCAATTGAACACTTATGGGAGATCTGGAGTGACGCCTGAGACAGCGTTTTCCACCACCATCAACAAAACACCAAATTATGGAATATCTCGTGGAAGAATGATGTCACATCCCTCCAACAGAGTTCCAGACACTTGTATAATCCATGCCAAGGCGCATTGAAGCTGTTCTGGCACCTCGTGGTGGCCCAACGCCCTATTAAGACCCTATGTTGGTGTTTCCTTTATTCTGGCAGTTACATGTATATCCTAGTTGTGTACACACTATGTAGCTGCAGTCTGACCAAGCTTTATAAACACTCACCTTATATCAGAGAGACATACTTCTCCACTGACGTGTAAGGCTTCCTCCATTGACCTGTTACTCTTCATAGACAGACAGCTGGGAGCAGGATGCTCCACTCTCTCCTGCTTGACACTACACATGTCAATGTTTAAGTCAATGTTTCACATTGTTATATGTTTTCTTATCATAAAGTTGATATCTGAGCAAGTAAGATGATTTGTATAAATATGATTTGTATGTAGTTTGTCCTGTAGAGTATTTATCAGAGTGAAACTGAACCTTGGTTAGTGTTTATCCCTCAGACAGCCCCTCGCTCTGACTCACCTCCTGCTCATGACTTCAGGGTCTTCCTCAGGCTCCATACAGTCTAATGTCTCTTTAAGACTCTGGACTGCTCAGACAGATCTCACTCAGAAAACCTAGCCAGTAAACATAAACATTTATGGCTATATATACAGTGCATTCTGAAAGTATTCAGACTTTTTCCACATTTTGTTACGTTACAGCCTTATTCTAAAATTGATTAAATGGTTTTTTTCCTTCATCAATCTAAACACAATACCCCATAATGACAAAGCAAACTTGAGAGGATCTGCAGAGAAGAATGGAAGAAACTCCCTAAATACAGGTGTGCCAAGCTTGTAGCATCATACCCAAGAAGACTCAAGGCTGTAATCGCTGCCAAAGGTGCTTCAACAAAGTACTGAGTAAAGGGTCTGAATACTTATGTACAATACCAGTCAAAAGTTTGGACACACCTACTCATTCAAGGTTTTTTCTTTATTTTTACATTGTAGAATAATAGTGAAGACATCAAAACCATGAAATAACACATATGGACTCATGTAGTAACCAAAAAAGGGTTAAACAAATCAAAATATATTTTATATTTGAGATTCTTCAAATAGCCCCCCTTTGCCTTGATGACAGCTTTGCACACTCTTGGCGTTCTCTCAATCAGCTTCACCTGGAATGCTTTTCCAACAGTCTTGAAAGAGTTCCCACAAATGTCCACCGGTGTAATGTCCATTGCTTGTGTTTCTTGGCCCAAGCAGGTCTCTTCTTATTATTGGTGTCCTTCAGTAGTGGTTTCTTTGCAGCAATTCAACCATGAAGGCCTGATTCACACAGTCCCCTCTGAACAGTTGATGTTGATATGTGTCTGTTACTTGAACTCTGTGAAGGATTTATTTGGGCTGCAATTTCTGAGGCTGGTAACCCTAATGAACTTATCCTCTGCAGCAGAGGTAACTCTGGGTCTTCCATTCCTGTGGCGGTCCTCATGAGAGCCAGTTTCATCATAGCGCTTGATGGTTTTTGCGACTGCACTTGAAGAAACTTTCAAAGTTCTTGAAATGTTCCGTATTGACTGACCTTCAAGTAATTACGGACTGTCGTTTCTCTTTGCTTATTTGAGCTGTTCTTGCCATAATATGGACTTTTACCAAATACGTCTATCTTCTGTATACCACCCCTACCTTGTCACAACACAACTGATTGGCTCAAACGCATTAAGGAAAGAAATTCCACTAATTAACTTTTAAGAAGGCACACCTGTTAATTGAAATGCATTCCAGGTGACTACCTCATGAAGTTGGTTGAGAGAATGCCAAGAGTGTGCAAAGCAGTCATCAAGGCAAAGGGTGGCTACTTTGAAGAATCTCAAATATAAAATATACTTTGATTTGTTTAACACTTTTTTGGTTACTACATGATTCCATGTGTTATTTCATAGTTTTGATGTCTTCACAATTTTTCTACAATGCAAAAAATAGTAAAAATAAATTAAAACCCTTGAATGAGTAGGTGTCCAAACTTTTGACTGGTAGTGTAAATAAGGTATTTGTTAATTTTCTATACATTTGCTAAATAATCTAAAAAAATGTTTTTGCTTTGCAATTATGGGGTATTGTGTGTAGATTGATGAGGAAATAAATGTATTTAATCCGTTTTAGAATAAGGCGGTAACGTGGAAAAAGTCAAGGGGTCTGAATACTTTCTGAATGCACAGTAGAGTACAATATATGGCTCTATCTATCAGTAGTTTCACATAGCATTGCGTCTTAGTAATCCTGCATTGTCACTATTTATAAAGCACATTTGTTTTTTATTGAGAAAATGTTATGTCACGTTTGGGAATGGACCCTATAGTGAGGTGTTATGTCACCCTTTATAGAGCATGACATAAGCTCATAGATGACTTGTGAATCATCTATGTAGTGCTTAAAGACTTTATGTATGTTATAGAAAGCCTTTATAAGTTGTAGTTAGTTTAAAGAGGGACCCTGCCGTCTTACCTGATCACATAAAACATATGTTGTAGCGATGTGAACTAGGCCCTGTGTTCATGTTTTCAACCTCTGCAAAATAGAACCCATTGTCAAACAGGAAGAGGCTGTATGTGGAAGCTGGCTGGTTGCTTAAAGTAAAAAATGTAATACAAACTTTCAAGAATTATATTGTGTATATTTCTTTACTTCTACAGATATATCATTGCCATTTAGCGCTATTTGTAAGTGGTGTAAGATGTAGTCACCTTAGAAAACATGTTTCCCCATACAATTCAGGCCTAGTGAGAGACCTACAGTATACTGAACCCCCCTTAATCTCCTGAAAACTACAGAATATAGCCAAAATGTACTGTATTACTGTCATTCATTGTCACTTTACACAGTATTTTAGGTAAACAAATTAAACAGTTCAGTGGTATTTTTCAACCAGAACTTTATCAGAACAATAAAATATTTAACAGGTTACATAAGCTTGGCCTACACTGTACATCAAACAGTGGTTGTAGCACATTGTTTCACGGAATACAATAATACAAATTGTTTCTATAACACTTTAAAACATGAAATAAAACAAAATGTGATTATTGCATCTGACTTTAGAAATCTTTAGAAACAATTGGAACAGGAGTATCAAACTGTCCGTCCTCTAAAATGGTGTGTAGTTACAGACTTTTAGTATGACAGCTAGAGATGTCAGAGAGGGTCCAAACTGCTTTCTGAATAATGTTCTACTGCTTGGAAGACCTATTATAGTACAATGGCCCCATCTATTGGCTGAAACCTGAACCATATTTGAAAAGTTTGTGATTTTAGATCATTTTGAAGAATATTTAAATCAAGCATTGACAATTCGTTTGCTTATTATAAATTACTTAATATTGACGTGTTTAAATATTATCATATTTTACACATTTCTCACAACCCCACACAGTTGACTGGCCTGAGAAAGACTGCTGTGTCTTCTCCTGACCAGCAGGTGGCACTAACATACAGTGTTGAGCACTTTAACTAAGCAAGCCATTTCACATTTACACACGCAAAGACTATCATCGAGACCCAGTGACATGTTGAGAAGGCACAGGTATTAGCAGTGCTTAAAAAAGTACCCAAAAGCCATACTTGAGTAAAAGTAAAGATACCTTGCTGAAAAATGACTCAAGAAAAGTCCCCCATTAGAATACTACTAGAGTAAAAGTCTTAAAAGTACCTGATATTAAATGTATTTACGTATCAAAAGTACACTGCTCAAAAAAATAAAGGGAACACTAAAATAACACATCCTAGATCTGAATGAATGAAATAATCTTGTAAAATAGTATGATAGAGCTCTGCAGGCTATCTCTACAGTAGTTTGCAACCCCACCCCCTCTGTGCCCAAACAGTTTGAGCTTCTACTTCTAAAAATCCACCTTTCCAGAAATAAGTCTCTCACTGTTGCCACTTGCTACAGACCCCCTTCAGCCCCGTGCTGTGCCCTGGACACCATATATGAACTGATTGCCCCCCATCTATCCTCAGAGTTCGTACTGCTTGGTGACCTAAACTGGGATAAGCTTAACACCCCGGCCAACCTACAATCTAATCTAGATGCCCTCAATCTCTCACACATTATCAAAAAACCTACCAGGTACAACCCAAAATCTGTAAACATGGGCACCCTCATAGATATCATCCTGACAAATTTACCCTCTAAATACACCTCCGCTGTCTTCAACCAGGATCTCAGCGACCACTGCCTTATTGCCTGCGTCCGTAATGGGTCCGCGGTCAAACGACCACCCCTCATCACTGTCAAACGCTCCCTAAAAGACTTTAGCGAGCAGGCCTTTCTAATTGACCTGGCCCGGGTATCCTGGATGGATATTGACTTCATTCCGTCAGTAGAGGATGCCTGGTTGTTCTTTAAAAGTGCTTTCCTCTCAATCTTAAATAAGCATGACCCATTCAAAAAATTCAGAACTAAGAACAGATATAGCCCCTCGTTCTCCTCAGACTTGACTGCCCTTGACCAGCACAAAAACATCCTGTGGCGTACTGCATTAGCATCGAACAGCCCCCGCGATATGCAACTTTTCAGGGAAGTCAGGAACCAATATACACAATCAGTTAGGAAAGGCAAAGGCTAGATTTTTCAAACGAATTGCATCCTGTAGCAGTAACTCCAACAAGTTTTGGGACACTGTAAAGTTCATGGAGAATAAGACCACCTCCTCCAACTGCCCACTGCATGAGGCTAGGAAAAAAACTGTCACAACCGAAAATATACAATAATCGGAAATTTCAACAAGCAGTTCTGCTACGGCTGGCCATGCTTCTAACTGGCTTACAATACCCGGCACCAGCTCTGCACAATCCGCTGCAACTTGCCCATGCCCCCCGCTTTCCTTTACACAAATTCAGGAAGATGATGTTCGGAAAGAGCAGAAAAATTGGGCCACTACAAACAGCTGGGCTAGACAAGTGGACCCGTTCTTCTAAAAAAAATAAGCCGCAAATAATTGTCGCAACCCCTATTTATTAGACTGTTCAACTATCTTTCGTAAGTTGAGATCCCCAGAGATTGGAAAGCTGCCGCGGTCATCCCCCTCTTCAAAGGGGGTGACACTCTAGATCCAAACTGTTACAGACCTATATCCATCCTGCCCTGCCTTTCGAAAGTTTTTGAAAGCCAAGTTAACAAACAGATCACCAACCATTTCGAATCCCACCGTACCTTCTCCGCTATGCAATCCGGTTTCCGAGCTGGACATGGGTGCACCTCAGCCACGCTCAAGGTCCTAAACGATATTATAACCGCGATCGATAAAAGACAGTACTGCGCAGCCGTCTTCATCGACCTGGCCAAGGCTTTCGGCTCTGTCAACCACAGCATTCTTATTGGCAGACTAAATAGCCTTGGTTTCTCAAATGACTGCCTCGCCTGGTTTACCAACTACTTCTCAGATAGAGTTCAATGTGTCAAATCGGAGGGCCTGTTGTCTGGACCTTTGGCAATCTCTATGGGGGTGCCACAGTGTTCAATTCTCGGGCAGACTCTATTCTCT